ATATATATATATATATATATATATATATATATATCTATATATATATATCATTAATTCTTTTGAATACTAGCTTTCTATTCAAATATTTCAACGGAGATATTTTTTATTAATTATTTCGTTTATCATGACAATTAACAAAAGTAAAATTTAATCTTTAAAGCACATTTGATATATATTTTAAAACCAATTTTTTCTCATGATCAATTATATATAATAATTTAAAAATTTTCATCAAATAGTGAATTAAAATTTTTAGTTATTAATAGTAAAAATAAATATTTAAATATATTCTAATATTGTCTATGAAAATATTTTGAATAATTTATAACAAGTTAATATATATTTTTATTTTAATATTATTTTATAATTTATTCTTAATATTTTTATACCGTGTATTTACTATAATCGTTGATTTTTAATTATGTAAAAGTTAGCGTGCAAAGTATCCGATTTAAAGAAAATCTAAACCCAACTTCCTAATTGATTACTGCGTGGTTGCTCGGGTGTAATGACTAAATCAAGTGTCATAAGTGAAAGATATATAAAACGTTAGGGTGAACTCATCTCATATGTTATATTTTGAAAAGAAAAGTAAAAAATAATTGTTCTCTGTTGTCTTTCTTTTCTTTAAGGATCTGCGGTCTTTTCCTTTTTTCCTTTAGAAAATCTGTTGTCTAACTTAATAACAAAGCTAAAGACCATTTCCTTGGTAAAAGGTAGAAAATGGAGACAAAACGGCCTTATTAGTGCATTAGTCACGTTTTTGTTATTTTTATAATTATATTTATATATATAGCCTCTAGAAACACACGCGTTAGTTCACGTTCAGGTTTTGTGTGGCTTCGAAATACGTCAACAGTGACGTCGTTTTGTACACGTGTCAGGAAGACGCGTAGTTCAAACCCTAACCCAAGGTAGCATATAAAAGAACCCATTCACTCACATGAAAATGATGAAATCCTTGTGCCCCAAGTAAAGCGAGTTGGGAAGCCGCTACACCACCAATCACGCACGCGCTATAAAGAACACTGCAAACTGCAAAGTACAAACCACAGCTTCAAACTTAAAAGGCTAAACCCCAGCCGGTAGCCGGTGAGGTGGACGATGAAGGAGGGCGCTGAGCGGCTGGATTTGGAAAAGCTGAGAGTGATCTCCGCCGTGGGGCGCGGCGCGAAGGGCGTGGTGTTCCTGGCGAGGACCGGTGAGCGGTCGCGGGACGCGTGCGTGGCTCTGAAGGTGATATCGAAGGCACTGATCCTTCAGAAGAAGGCGAGGAACGAGGCGGAGGAGTACAAGAGGGTGTCGTTCGAAGAGCAAGCGCTGCGTCGTTTCGATCACCCTCTTCTGCCGCGGCTGCGAGGGGTTTTCGAAACCGACAAGGTCCTTGGCTTCGCCATTGATTACTGCCACGGTGGCACCCTCCACTCTCTCCGCAAGAAACAGACCGAGAAAATGTTCTCCGATGATACCATCAGGTACTTTTAAATAATAATAATAAATAAAAAAAAAACATTATCTTTTCCCCCCAAAGTTTGGTAAAATCCAGAATTTCCGGAATTCTTCTACCTGTTTGGTTTTTCCCGGTAATGAAAATTTTCGAAGAATTTGATGAAGATTTTCGTTACACTTTTTTCTATCAAGATTCAAGAATAAACCATCAATTTGATTGTTTCAAATTATTGTTTTCTTTTACTAATTCACATGTAAAATAATGAAATTAACTATAACTATCATTTTAATATTAAACAATATTATTCTTAAAATTAACAAAATTTCTGTTTTAAATTTTTCTTAAAAATAATTATATAAAAGTAAAAAGTGTCTTTTTTCCTATTAATTTAAATAATTTCTTTGAATATTTATTACTTTAATTATTAAAATAATCTATTTCCATTAAGATGAAGATTATTTTATTATTTAAAAGTCTATTACATGATTTTTGATATTTTTAAATTTATTTAAGCAAATTAGTTTTATTTAAAACTGTTTAAGGGAGAATATAATGTATAACAATATAATAAATGTGATTACTCCATTTGCTATATATAATATGCATAATTGTTTTTAAGATGATTTTATCTTTAATTTTTTAAATAATAAAAAAATAATATTAAAAATTTATCATTTTTACCAAGATTTTCTATGCTGTTTTCTGGCAGCGTAGTTTCCATGAAAGTTTGGGAAAATAAAGTTGTTCGAATTTATTTCCATTAAAATAATGTATCCATGGAAATGGTTAAAAAAATCATTTTTTTTCCAATACAAAACAAGGCCGATTCTGATTGTTTTTCCTATTCGCACAGTGCAACTGACCTTTCTTTCGTTTTTTCGCGGATTAGTGGTTAGTGTGAAAGTTTGGCGAGAAAACAAAAACCACCGTCATTTTGTGTTTTTTATGTTAAGAGTTTAAATTACTAAAAAGGTGAAACAAACAAAAGCATTTATTTCCTTTCATTTTCGTAACAACCAAATCAAACAAAGCACGCAAAAAAACGAATATTCTAATTTTGTTTTGTCTTTCAACCTTTTTTTTTTTTTAAGGTTTTACGCTGTGGAATTGGTCCTCGCATTGGAGTATTTGCACAATTTGGGAATAGTGTATCGAGATTTGAAGCCAGAGAATGTGATGATTCAAGAAAACGGACACATAATGCTCGTCGATTTTGATCTCTCCAAAAAGCTAAACCCTAAATCCCCCGAATCACTGAGTCACAACTCGTCCCCGAGTCCCGACTCGGTGAAACGCGCGACTAAGAAACGATCATCGCGGCTCTTCAGTTTCTGCAACTCGGGCATCACGCCGTGTGACTCGGACTCTGTGCCCCGAATCGACAGAGCCAACTCAGCGCGTGGAACCGAGTTCGACTCGGTGGAGAAGTCAAACTCGTTCGTTGGAACGGAAGAGTACGTGGCACCTGAAATAGTGTCAGGGAAAGGTCACGGCTTCGGCGTGGATTGGTGGTCACTCGGCGTCGTTTTGTACGAGATGCTGTACGGAACGACGCCGTTTAAGGGCGCGAATCGGAAGGAAACGTTTTACCGTATTTTGACAAAGGAACCAGAGTTAACGGGGGAGAAGACGGCGTTAAGGGATTTGATTCGGAGATTGCTGGAGAAAGATCCTGAGCGTCGGATCCAGGTGGACGAAATCAAGGGCCACGATTTCTTCAAAGGGGTTAAGTGGGACACGGTGTTGCACATTGCGAGGCCACCGTATATTCCAGAAAGTGAGGTTGCGAACAAAGTGGGGTTTACCAAAAACGACGTCGAAGTGTTTGTGGACGAGGTGTTTTTTCCCACGAGTGATGATGGCGGAGAGAAGAATAACACGGTGTTGGAAAAGAAAGTCAATGGTGAGAATACGGTGTGGGTACATGAATTGAGGCATGATCCCACCAAGAACAACGACGATTTTTTTATTTTTTGACCTTATAGATTTTATTTAGACTAAATGTTGATTGTAATTATTTTTTTGGCATTTCATTGATACACAATTAAAATCGACCATTGTTGAGATTAATGAATTAGTTAATTTTATTGCCTGTTCATTGAAAACGAATGTTACTTTTGGTTCACGTTGATGTCGTAGAGTAGTGTTTTTGCATGATTTTGGGATATTCGTTGTTTCTTTGAAGAATAAATGTAAATAGTATTGTACTATCCGTACCGCGTAATCGAGCTCCGAGCTCGGCACCATAACGCAAGCCGACCTCGAACACGCACCGCGTGACATCAGTTCGATATTTAAGCAGATCATAACTGATCCCCGAGGATCTCGTCCCGGACGAGGTCCGTTATCTAATCATATTATACCTCATCTCAGGCCTAAGGCCTAAAGTAACCCTAATTCACACCTAGGTACATGCATTACTTATACGAGACTAATACTCACACAAATACTAACTTTAGCATCGGAGTCTCTTTTGCAGGTACCACCCCCATCTTGGAGCACCAGCGTACCCGTGAAGGAGGCTGATCGATCTTACCTAGCGGATCAGCTCTACAGCAGATTTCTGGTAAGAACATTTGGCGCCCACCGTGGGGCCGATCAAGAAAGCTCTTATTGGCCACCTGTATGGTTTTCACCAGAAGTCATAGTAGACGCACAACAGACGACGCAAACCACTCAACCACCATGGATAACGAAGCAGCGTTGAGGAGACTAATCGATCAGGTCGAACAGATGCGGCAGCAACATGCCGCCGACCACCATGGATAACGAAGCAGCGTTGAGGAGACTAATCGATCAGGTCGAACAGATGCGGCAACAGCACGATGCTGACCTGCGCAATATGCGTGCCCAGCACGAAACTGACCTAGCGGCGATGAGAACCGCCAATGAAGCGGACCTAGCGGCATTATGCCCCGAAAACGAGCGCATTCGCGCCCAACTCCCTCGACGCCCCTCTGATCACTCTCCTCACGAGAGCAACATCCATGAAGACGAGGCACACTCGGCCTCTCAATCCCGGACTGCAACTAGGGCACCGACTTCACGACCCGCCACACACCGATCTCATGTATCGACGCACAAGTCGGGCCCAGACGCCCGCAGAGCACCCACTCATGCCACAGAAAGCCAAGAAACCTTCTGTCGACATCCTTTTGTGGACGGCATCATGGAGACCCCACTCCCCCGTGGATGGAAACCTTCCCACCTCGACCGCTATGACGGCACGACGGACCCCGATGAGCACATTGACCTGTACATAACCCAGGTAAACCTCTACACTAACAGTGACACTATCCTATGTAGGGTTTTTCCGACCTCGCTCAAAGGAGCCGCACTCCACTGGTACACCCAGCTACCCGCCAAATCCATTGACAGTTTCAGCACCCTGGTCCGGCGATTCATGGCACAATACGCCACAAGCCGACCTCATCACACAACCTCGACCGCTTTGGCCAACCTCAGGCAGAATGACGATGAACCTCTACGAACCTTCATGGAACGCTTCTCCAGCATCTCGGTGCGGATCCGGAACTTGAACCCTGAGGTCGCCCTGCACTCCATGCTCATGGCCCTAAAAGTCGGCCCCTTCGTCGACAGCCTATGCCGAGACCCCCCCCGGTGATATGGACGAGCTCCGCGCTCGCGCGGCCGGGTACATCCAGATGGAGGAACACTCCGCTTTCCATGACCAAGTTCGCGGAAAAGGCCCAGCAAAGTCAGAACAAGGGCATAAGGACAAAATAAAAGTCAACAACGACAGCCAGTTCAAGAAGTCAACTGGGGCAAACAGAGGAGGGAGATACGACTTCTACACTCCCCTAAACGCACCTAGAGTCCACATCCTGGAGGAAGCCAGCAATAACAACATGCTCGCCCTTCCACCACCAGGCCACACTCCCAACAACGCCGAAAATTCCAAGCACTGCCGGTACCACAGGAACCATGGTCACACCACGGAGGAGTGTCGCACACTCAGGGATCGTATCGAAGAACTTATTCAGGCAGGCCACCTCGGCCAGTACGTCCAACGACAGTAGGGTAACCGAGGTGGCTACGGCGGTCAGGGACGAGGTAGAGGCCGTGGTTCGGGAGCTCGCACTGACCCACACCCGGGTTCCCAACAAAATACTAACGGTGCAGTACAAGCCGAGATAAGCCAAGAGACAGACCTTACGGGGAGTAATCAACACAATTGCGGGTGGCTTTGCGGGGGGAGGCGCCAGCAGCTCGGTTCCAAGAAGACACCTACGAAGCATCAACTGCGTCCACTCTACCACCTCGGCCCCG